ATTTGACTGCATTATTTTCCTTTCATCCCTTTCTATTTATAGTACTAGCACACTTATTAATCTACAATAATAAGCCCAATATTCCAGATATACTAAATGGCCCGTCATCCTCACTTGTACAATTTTTAATACTATTCTAATATTCTTATGAGCAATATTGTCTATATTCCTATCATTCAACCATCATCAATTTACTTTTTTTTCCCTTTTCAGGAAATCTATCAAGGAGGTGAACCTGGTGAAAAATTACTTGGTTATCATGCATTGCAAGTTGTAGGATGCGGGCATGAAACTCCATTTGACTATTTTTTGGTAAAAAATTCATATGGGGTAGAATGGGGTCATGAAGGGTATGGCCGTGTTAGGACACATCTATTATTTAATTTTATTCATTTTAATATGATAGATCCATTCATTACATATGCCCCTGAGTTCTTAGCTTTGAAGTTCGAAGGGCACTCAGATGGTAAGGTTTTTAATCATTATAGTATAAGTTAATTAATCATATTCTGAGCAAACATAAATTTTAATTTCTTTACGTGCAGAGGACCCCTTTTTACCATTGATACAAAATAAACTTAATCAGGTTGCAGCAGAGGACCAAACTTTCAGAGGTTAGTTGTTCGAGTTGCGTGTGTTTCGTTGTGCGTATAAAAATAAGATCATATGAGAAGTGCCTAATATGTTGAACAATGAGTACTGGTGACAGCCATTAGATCTCTATGCCCCAAAATTAAATCTTGTCACCATAGACTAATGTGTTGCATCTGTATCGAGAAGCACTTAATAAAATCCAAAAAAATCTCGTGTTTCTATGTAAAAAATCTCTAATGGTCTACTAGTATTGTGATTGGTGAGACTTGAATAGCAACCATGTTTTTTTCTCACCAGTTTTCTCTCCCTCAGTAAGGGCAGGAAGCAGCAAAACTCATCCTTCTTCTATCCAATACCACTCAGAAATTTCTTTTCCATTCTGATTGCTTCTATTTTATAGGAATGTGATTGTATGGAAATTTTGAAGTGTTTCTTGGTGCAATGATTTAAGTGGTTCTTGCTATTGCAGGATGTGGAGCACACAATACCTTGGAAAAGTTTCACACGCCGCCGCCTCCCCTTGCAGACCGGGAATGGTGGGTTTACCAGATTTGTTTTTGGCGAAAAATAGTTACTAAATACGTTATTGATCTCTCTGTGATGTGTAGAAATATAAAATTGTTCACTTCTTTATCAAAGTGAAAATACAATTCTAACAAAGTTTAAACTTGAAGCACCGGGCTCACTGGAGTTGGGAAATGGTCAGAATATGAAAAATAAATGCACTTATGTCTATTTCTTGCTGGAACTTCAGCTTTTTAGTTCAAAATTGGCAAGAATTGTTCGATGCTATTTCATTGGTGAAAATCAAATAGGAATGATGATGAATTAAAGATTTTGGGTACTTAAGGAATTGGTTCGGGGCAGTTGCAACTATACTGTCCATTTACAAAAAAAGTAGAAAGTACAGTGAAAGAGTGAGATCCTCCATCCCACCCTTCTTATGCTCCATGTCATAATATTCTTTACTATTTATGGTTATACATTATGTAGACCGAATTGTACAGGTATAGGAAGAAATTCAAATTTACTTTGGCAAACATTTGTTATGTCTATACAAATGTATACAGTATGTCTCTCTCGATGCATGAGTTGAAACTGTGAAAGATATAGAATATACTTTAGAATATATATTATTGTATAGAATCTTATATAGGAATATTCTATTTGTAATGTATATTTATAGGGACTTTCGCAACTAATGAAATACACAGAAAATCCTTCTCTCCATCTTTATTATCATTCTAGTTTATATTTCAACATGGTATCAGAGCCTTCCATTTCATGTAGTTTTTCCTTTGAGATTTCAGTTTAGTTTGTCATTATCTCTATCTCAATTTAGTTTTCAAACTGTGTTCTTTATCCAAGAAATTGATTTCAGTACCCAGTCTTCAAGAACCTCTGATCTCAGACTTTTCCCAGAACCTTTTTCCAGATCTTCTTCCCATAACATCTTTCCAGAACCTCCCATCTCAGAAGCCGGCAAGCCTTTTCACACTCTGGTTCACCTCCCTCATCCTCCGGTTCGTCTGCCGCCGTCGACCAACCACCCGGAGTCCGCACGCCCAAATCACCTCGCGTGAGTTACACGCGCCGTCGGAAGCTCCCGCAGCCAACACACGCGCCGGCGCGTGACGCCGTGTTTCTGGCCGGAGATTCTAACGGCGAGCATCGTCAGATTCGCCGGAGTGTCCTGTAGCAATATCCAGGTAGAGATAGAAGGAGGGCTGGGTCTTGGCTGGCATCGGAAATCTGCGTTATCTGCGGACATACGCACGCTCATATCTGCGGACATACGCACTGTTTTTGTCTGGTTGTTAATCAGTGGGGATTTGCATAGGAATTCTGTCTGGAGTAGCAGTCAACGGCCCAAGCAAATTGGATATTCTATTCTCCAAATTTAGTCCACAAACGGGAAAGGCTTATGTAAGTTTCCACCTTTATCTCAATTTTGAATTCAAAAAAAAAAGCAAAAAAAAAGGTGATAAAAAAATGTTTTGTCCTCGTGAATTTGGAAAACAGTTAATATGCAACTACTGTAAGAAATCTGGGCACTTGATCAAAGAATGTAGAAAATTGGCATTCAAAAATCAAGGAAATTCGACTGCTCATGTTGCTTCCGCTACCAGCTCATCTGATGGATCCATTGCTATTCCTTCAAGCGAGTATGCTAAATTTATTTGCTACCAAGAATCTCTAAAGCATTCCTCTATCCCTATCTCGGTAGTCGCAAATTCAGGTATTTCAAACACATGTCTTGTTTCATCATCCTCGAAATGGGTCATTGACTCAGGTGCCACAGATCATATGACTGGTAATCCCAGTCTATTCTCATCATTTCACTCGCATTTACCTACTTCCAGTGTCACTTTAGCTGACGGGTCTACCTCACCCGTTCTTGGATCCGGTACTGTTGTACCAACTTCTACATTACCATTATCGTCTGTTTTGAGTCTTCCTAATTTTTCGTTTAATCTGCTTTCCATCAGTAAAATCACACGTACTCTTAATTGTTCTGTAACATTTTTTCCGGGATATTATGTGTTTCAGGATCTGTTAACGAAGCAGACTATTGGTAAAGGACATGAGTCGGCTGGTCTTTATATTTTGGATACATCAATCACAAAAGGTATCTCTTGTCTTGGGGTTGGAAATCTATTAGAAGCTCATTACCGATTAGGACATCCATCTCTCCCACTAATGAAGCAAATACATCCTCAATTTAATAACGTGTCATCTATACAATGTGAGTCGTGTGAGTTTGCAAAACATCATCGCACTAGTTTAAGTCCCCGACTTAATAAACGAGCAAATGCTCCGTTTGATCTTGTCCATACCGATGTTTGGGGGGCATGTCCAGTTGTGTCCAAATCTGGTTTCAAATATTTTGTTACTTTTGTTGACGATTATTCTCGTATGACATGGTTGTACTTCATGAAGCGTCGATCCGAGTTATTTACTCATTTCTCTGCATTTTGTGCTGAAATTAAAACTCAATTTAATGTTACTGTTCGTGTGTTAAGGGGAGACAATGCCCAAGAATATCTATCTGTTCCATTTAAATCTTTTATGCTTCAACATGGCACTATTCATCAAACTTCATGCGTAGACACACCTCCTCAAAATGGAGTTGCTGAAAGAAAGAATCGACATCTGTTAGAAACTGCAAGGGCTCTTCTATTCCAAATGAATGTGCCTAAACAGTTTTGGGCTGATGCGGTGTCTACTTCATGTTTTTTGATCAATCGTATGCCATCTTCTGTTTTGGATTGTAAAGCTCCTTATCAATGCCTTTTTCCAAATAAAGAACTTTTTCCCATTCCACCTAAAATATTTGGTTGCACTTGTTTTGTTAGAGATGTTAACCCTCATCGCACGAAGTTGGATCCCAAATCATTGAAATGTATTTTCTTAGGTTATTCTCGAGTTCAAAAGGGGTATAGATGTTTTTGTCCAAGTACAGGTCGATACCTTATTTCTATTGATGTCTCATTTCATGAAAATACACCTTTGTCATCATCCAAGACAGATATTCATGAGGACAATGATGACATACTCATTTACACAGTTACTATACCTGAGACCACACCTTCAGTAACTATACCGAATGTTACTGTTCCTGACCCTAGACCTCCAGTACACTTGGTTTACACCCGTCGACACAAAGCACCAGATCACTCTCCACCTGTGACACCTGTGATTACTTATCCTGATACTGATCTGACTTCGATCTCATGTCCTGAACCAGTACCTGCATCTTCAGATCTTGTCTCTACATCAGATCTTGACCTCCCGATAGCACTACGTAAAGGTACCCGGGCTTGTACTCATCCTATTTCTTCATTTGTGTCATATAGTCGGTTATCCTCTGCCTCGTGTTCTATTATTGCTTCCATTGATTCTATTTCTGTTCCCAAATCTGTCAAAGAAGCTTTGTCTCATCCTGAATGGCGTCATGCCATGGTAGAGGAAATGAATGCTTTGGATCTTAATGGTACTTGGGATTTAATAGACTTGCCTACAGGGAAGAGGTCTATTGGATGTAAGTGAGTCTTTGCTGTTAAGGTTAACCCAGATGGATTTGTTGCTCGATTGAAAGCTCGATTAGTTGCGAAGGGTTATGCTCAAACCTATGGTGTTGACTATTCTGACACTTTTTCTCCTGTTGCTAAATTAACATCTGTCAGGTTACTTATTTCACTCGCCGCAACTCATGATTGGCAGTTACATCAGTTGGACATTAAAAATGCATTCTTGCATGGTGACCTTCAAGAGGAAGTTTATATTGAGCAACCTCCGGGATTTGTTGCTCAGGGGGAGTATGGAAAAGTTTGTCGACTTCGCAAATCTCTTTATGGTTTGAAACAGAGTCCTCGTGCATGGTTTGGGAAATTCAGTCAATCTATTGAACAGTTTGGAATGATAAAAGGTCAATCAGATCACTCTATCTTTTACAAAAGAACGAAAGCATGTATCACATTGCTTGTGGTGTATGTCGATGATATTGTGATTACAGGAAGTGATACTGCAGGTATTTTGGCCCTTAAGAATTTTCTTCATAGCCAATTCCAAACAAAAGACCTAGGCTCGTTGAAATACTTTCTGGGTATTGAGGTAACACGGAGTAAGAAAGGTATATTTCTATCTTAGCGTAAATATGTACTTGATTTACTAGCTGAAACAGAAAAAATGGGAGCAAAGCCAAGCACGACTCCCATGGTTCCCAATGTGCAACTCACCCAAGAAGGCATACCATTCGAAGACCCAGAAAGGTACAGAAGATTGGTTGGAAAGCTTAATTATCTTGCAGTCACCCGTCCAGACATTGCTTACTCTGTGAGCGTTGTGAGTCAATATATGTCATCTCCGACCATTGATCATTGGGCTGCTGTAGAACATATATTATGTTACTTGAAAGGAGCACCAGGACGCGGGATTGTCTATCAAAATCATGATCACTTGAGAATAGAATGTTTTGCAGATGCTGACTGGGCCGGATCTAAAGATGATCGAAGATCTACCTCGGGCTATTGTGTCTTTGTTGGAGGGAACCTAGTATCCTGGAAGAGTAAGAAACAGAGTGTGGTTTCTTGTTCGAGTGCTGAATCAGAATATCGAGCTATGGCGCAATCTGCTTGTGAGATCATGTGGATAGGCCATTTATTAAGTGAAATCGGATTGAAGACACCAATGCCTGCTAAATTGTGGTGTGATAATCAAGCTGCCATACACATTGCCAACAACCCAGTATTTCATGAGCGAACAAAGCATATTGAGGTTGATTGTCATTTTATTCGAGAGAAGATACAGAAATGATTGATCTCTACGGGATATGTGAAGACTGGAGAACAACTTGGAGATTTGTTCACTAAAGCACTAAATGGGATCCGAGTTGGTAACAAGTTGGGCATGATAAATATCTATGCTCCAACTTGAGGGGGAGTGTGAAAGATATAGAATATACTTTAGAATATTAGAATATACTTCAGAATATTCTAGGAATATATTTTAGGATATATTATTGTATAGAATCTTATATAGGAATATTCTATTTGTAATGTATATTTATAGGGACTTTCACAACTAATGAAATACACGGAAAATCCTTCTCTCCATCTTTATTATCATTCTAGTTTATATTTCAACAGAAACCATTGCTTTTTATAATGTTTTTGAAGTCCTTGTAACTTTTCCATTTTGAGATTGAATCCATATACCAGCACCAATGAAGTTAAAACGGGTGTCCCTCTCATGAAGATCTCCTAAAATAATAAATTGAAACATCACTTTGATTCATCTATTTACATCTGAGCGAGAGGCCTGGATAACTGCTTCTTCACATCTTTTATTCGCCATTTTTCTTTCACTTTCTGGCTCAGATTGTATTTTGCTAGTTGTTAAAATTTTCTATTATTCCCTCTGTGGATTAAATACTATGCTTCTACTGACACTCATGGACATGCTTTTTTCTTCTTCTTCTGATTAAATGAATAAGAGCATAAATGTCCCTCACCACTTTTCACTGCCAATACTAGAAAAGAAGCATTTTGGTCAATTTATTTTTGAGTGGCTATATAGCTTTTTAAGTTCATCAATTTATTCTGTCACCAATCTGGAGCAGGGGTCTGACAGGAGAGAGGACGGTGAAGAGATTGTGTCTGTCAAAAGCTCTCACAGTACCTGAAACTGTTAGAAATTAAACTTGGCTTAGCCCAATCATTGGGTCCATTAGAAGTTAACTTATTGGGCTAGTAGTTGTATGAGAAATAATAAATTAGTTAGCCCATAAGTTAGAGTTAGTAAAGAAAGGTCTAGAATACTCTTTAGTTAATGTACTTATTAAATGATTCTAGAATATTCCTAAGCTAGAATCCTATGGAATAGTGTAGAATGTTAAAGACATAGGAGTGCCTAGAAGGATCCTAAGAGACCTATAAATAGAGCACTCCTCACTCATTTGTAATACAAGCAAAAGCTCCAAATCAATAAAAGTTTCAAGTTCTTCCAAAATCATCTCTCTCTAAAATTCTCTCTTCCACACACAATCACCTAAATACAATACTCATAAACTCCTTTATTCCAACAAAGTGGTATCAGAGCCAGGTTCCTTTCAAGAAAGATGAATGCCAACGGCTTACTTCCCTTCCAATTTCCTCGTCTCACCAAAGATAACTACTCTAGTTGGTGCATTCGCATGAAAGCCTTGCTAGGATCTCAAGATGCATGGGAGATTGTTGAGAAAGGTTATGAGGAACCTCAAGATGATGCTACTTTAAATCAATCCCAAAGGGATAGTCTCCAAAGGAGTAGGAGGAAGGATCAACAAGCTCTCACTCTCATATATCAATGCTTAGACGAGGCCATGTTCGAGAAGGTTGCAAATGCCACCACTTCTAAAGAAGCATGGGAAATACTTCATAATTCTTTCAAGGGAGTAGACAAGGTGAAGAGAATTCGTCTTCAAAATCTTAGAGGTGAGTTCGAACAACTTAAAATGAAATATTCGGAATCAATATCCGATTATTTCTCTAGAGTGTTGGGAATTGTAAATGAGATGAAGAGAAATGGGGAGGAACTAAAAGACATAACGGTGATTGAGAAAATCCTTCGCTCTCTCACCAAAGACTATGATTATATTGTGGTGGCCATAGAAGAGTCCAAGGATTTAGAGACCATGACCATTGATCAACTTATGGGCTCACTACAAGTCCATGAAGAAAGAGTTGTGAGAAATAAATCTGATGAATCATTGGAGCATTCCCTTTACTCCAAGCTCTCTTTTAAAGAAAGAGGGGATAATAGAGGTGAAGAAAGAGGCCAACGAGGTCGTGGTTATGATCGAGGACGTGGTGCACGTGGAAGAGGTGGTCGAGGTCGTGGTTATACAAAATTCAACAATGAAGAAAGAACTCAATATACACAAGCATCTAGAGGCCGTGGGAGAGGAAGCAAACCACAAAGGTACGACAAGTATCAACTAAGATGTCATAATTGCAATAAAGGATGCCTACTTGGGAAGCAATCAAGGAAACCATTTCCTAAAGAAGTTGCCTCAAGAGCTAAGGAGCCATTGGAGTTAGTCCATACCGATTTATGCGGTCCTATTACTCCATGTTCTCATGGTAAAAGTAAGTACTTTCTCACTTTCATCGATGATTACTCAAGGAAAACTTGGGTATATTTTCTGAAACAAAAATCAGAGGCCTTTGAAGCATTCAAGAAATTTAAGGTCCTTATTGAAAAAGAAAGTGGGTACGCTATCAAAGCCATGAGATCAGATCGGGGTGGAGAGTTCACATCAAAGGAGTTTAATCAATTTTGCGAAGATAATGGCATCCGTCGTCCCATGACTGTCCCACGCACACCACAACAAAATGGTGTTGCCGAAAGAAAGAATAGGACTATCCTCAACATGGCCCGAAGCATGCTAAAGACGAAGAATATGCCTAAAGAATTTTGGGCTGAAGCTGTGGATTGTGCCGTCTATCTTCAAAATCGCTGCCCCACGAAGAGTCTAGATGGAATAACTCCACAAGAAGCGTGGCATGGAGGTAAACCCGGAGTCTCGCACTTGAAAGTGTTTGGATGCATTGCATATGCTCATGTTCCTGATCAGACTAGATCAAAACTCGATGACAAGAGCGAGAAATTTATATTCATTGGATATGACAAACACTCAAAAGGGTACAAACTCTACAATCCGGATTTGAAGAAGCTTATAATAAGTCGCGATGTGGAGTTTGATGAAGAAGGCTCATGGAATTGGAGCATTGGTGACAAAGAAGATTATAGCCTCTTACCATCCATAGAATATGAAGAAGAAGTTGAAGAGAATCATGAAAATATAACTCCGCCACCATCTCCCACTCAAGCTCAATCTTCGCCACCAAGTTCGGATGAAAGAGAAGTACCACGCATGAGAAGCATTGAAGAGCTTTACGAGGTAACACAAAACCTGAACTCAAATGATGAACTTACACTCTTTTGTCTATTTGGTGATTGCGAGCCACTAAGGTTTGAAGAAGCCACAAGAAACAAGAAGTGGAGAGATGCAATGGATGATGAGATTAAGTCCATTGTGAAGAACAAAACATGGGAGCTAGCCATACTTCCATCAAATCATAAAGCAATTGGAGTGAAGTGGGTATTTAAGATCAAGAAAAATGCAAAAGGAGAGGTTGAGAAGTACAAGGCAAGACTAGTAGCCAAAGGCTACGCCCAAAGACATGGCATTGATTATGAAGAAGTATTTGCGCCTGTTGCTAGATTGGAAACAATAAGATTGATAATCGCACTCGCGGCTCACAACAAATGGAAGATACATCAAATGGATATCAAGTCCGCGTTCTTAAATGGGTTCCTAGAAGAAGAAGTCTACATTGAGCAACCCGAAGGTTACAAAGTCAAAGGGCAAGAAGATAAAGTGTTAAGGCTAAGAAAGGCTCTTTATGGGCTTAAACAAGCACCAAGAGCTTGGAATAGTAGAATTGACCAGTACTTCCAAGCTAATGGATTCATGAAGTGACCACAAGAACATGCACTATATGTAAAGAAAAATCGTCAAGGAGACATATTGCTCGTGTGCATATACGTGGACGATCTCATCTTTACAGGTAATAATATGACGATGTTCGATGAGTTTAAACAAGTCATGACAAGGGAGTTCGAGATGACTGACATTGGGCTTATGAGTTACTATCTTGGCATCGAGGTGAAGCAAATGGATGATGGTATATTCATCACTCAAGAAGGATACGCGAGAGAAGTACTCAAGAAGTTCAACATGGAGGACTCCAAACCTGTAAGTACACCTGTTGAAAGTGGATTAAAGCTATCAAGGTATGATAAAGAAAAATTGATTGATCCAACTTACTTTAAGAGTCTTGTGGGGAGCTTAAGATACTTAACATGTACAAGACCAGATATTCTCTTTGGTGTTGGACTTGTTAGTCGATTCATGGAGGCCCCTACAACAACTCATTTGAAGGCGGCAAAAAGAATTTTGCGATATCTCAAAGGCACCACCGAATATGGGTTGTTTTACTCTTCATCTGATGAGTTTAAGCTGGTTGGATATTGCGATAGTGATTGGGGTGGAGATATCGATGACCGCAAGAGCACAACTGGGTTCGTGTTTTACCTGGGAAACACCGCTTTCACATGGGTTTCAAAGAAGCAATCGATAGTCACTCTGTCCACTTGTGAAGCCGAGTACGTTGCAGCAACATCAAGTGTTTGTCATGCAATTTGGCTCAGATACATATTGCAAGCTCTCAGCATGTCTCAAGAAGAAGCAACAACAATATTCGTGGACAACAAGTCAGCTATCGCATTAGCAAAGAATCCAGTGTTTCATGATCGAAGTAAGCACATAGACACTCGATATCATTTCATCCGGGGAAAGATAGCGAAGAAGGAAGTTCAAGTAGAGTATGTGAAGACTCAAGACCAAGTCGCTGATATTCTCACAAAGCCACTCAAGCATGATGTCTTTGCAAAGATGCGGGATCTACTTGGTGTTGCTAAGTCAAGTTTAAGAGGGGATGTTAGAAATTAAACTTGGCTTAGCTCAATCATTGGGTCCATTAGAAGTTAACTTATTGGGCTAGTAGTTGTATGAGAAATAATAAATTAGTTAGCCCATAAGTTAGAGTTAGTAAAGAAAGGTCTAGAATACTCTTTAGTTAATGTACTTATTAAATGATTCTAGAATATTCCTAAGCTAGAATCCTATGGAATAGTGTAGATTGTTAAAGACATAGGAGTGCCTAGAAGGGTCCTAAGAGACCTATAAATAGAGCACTCCTCACTCATTTGTAATACAAGCAAAAGCTCCAAATCAATAAAAGTTTCAAGTTCTTCCAAAATCATCTCTCTCTAAAATTCTCTCTTCCACACACAATCACCTAAATACAATACTCATAAACTCCTTTATTCCAACAGAAACAACAACAATATATGAGGCTTGCCGCCGTATGGCTGCCCGCAGAGTTGATACTTTATTGCTGACTGACTCTAATGCATTGCTATGTGGGATCATGACAGATAAGGTGTGATCTTAATAATGTCTCATGCTTCTAAACAAAACAGTGAACCAAGCAGAACATGTGTGTTTTATTTAAATGTCTGATGGCTCTTTTATGGAGTCTTGAACATAGATGCCTTCTTTTAACTATATGCACTCTCTCTTTTTGTTTGTTCATACGAATGAAGGATATCGCGGTAAGTGTAATTGCTCGCGAAACTAATATTCAAGAAACACCGGTTTCGAAGGTGATGACAAGAAACCCGGTCTTTGTGCTTTCTGACACTCATATTGTTGAATCCCTGCAGAAATTGGTGCAAGGTATTTTTTTTCTCTCCACTTCTTCACATGAGAGGAATCTTTAGTTATAACAATATTCCTTATCTGACTGCAGGCAAATTCAGAAATTTGCCAGTTGTGAAAAATGGTGAGGTCATTGCTTTGCTAGATATAGCAAAATGTGTATATGATGCTATTTGATGTGTGAGTTTTCTCGCACTTAAAATAGATCGTAATATAGTAGTGTAAGTACGAGTATCGTCTCCACAGGGACGGACAAAAGGGAATCAAGAATTAATTAAATTCAACGATTAAAACTAAAATAAAATAAAATAAATGCGTCGTGCGAGATTGGTTATTTGAAAATTAAACTAATGCGGTTGAGCGAATAAAAATAAATGTGGTTTCTAATTAATTAATGACGAAGGGAATAGGGATTGATTCCGGGGTAACAGATTTCTGGCAGATCAGGCCTAATTACATGAAATTGATTTAATTGAGCCTAGCTAATCATTACTAAGTTCTTACCGCTCTCGCGGCGTAGAGTACAATAATTTAGGGGACCAGGCTGATCTCTCATGCGACAGGATCCTAAATTATTGCCAAGACGAGCGAGCTTACGACCCCTTAATCGCTACTAATCTCTTAGCGAACGATTAAGTGTGTGTGAATGTGTCCTAGAACAAATTAGACCTCTCTTAATTCATTCTACATGCAATTGTAATTCTAGTCGCGATTCTAGGTTACAAAAGATATCAGTTAAATTATTCAAACACAAATTAAACGACATTCATGCAATTAAACCAACAAGAATCTAGCCATACATCATGATCAACCCCTTCATCAACCCCAAATCCCTAATTAAACTACTCACAATTCATAATTGAAGAATCAACAGAATTGGAAAGAATAGAAATAATTGTCATTAATTAAAAAGATGAACTTACAAATAATCCCAGGGTCTTGGAGTAAACAATCGTAAAAACGCAAGTAAATTCGTCCCTAGGCCTCTCCGTAATGTTCGTAACCATCAAAAAGGGTTAGAGAGGCCTTATTTATAGAAAAAGGATGAAAAATACGAATTTGGGTCGATTTGGGATTTAATTTCGCGTAACCCGGGTCTACGCACGGCGTGCGTCCCCCCTACGCACGGCCGTGCGTAGCTGGCAGTAGCTACCTTGCTTTTCTCGCCTCAGACGCACGGTCGTGCGTTCCCCTACGCACGGCGTGCGTAAAACTTCCGAATTTGACAAAACTTTCTCCATGAAAGTTGTAGATAATGAAGTCTTCTATCCACCCCAATTTGCCGAATGTGATTTGAATCATCCAATCAAGAGATATGATCAAAACGGTGGAAGGTGTCATTCTGAGATCGCAGCAGAGATCATCTGACTTCATCGTCTGTTTTCATCTTCTTCCTCTCAGATTCTAGGAATGATGTCTTCATATGATTTGTAGCTCTTGACGTTGGATTTCATGTGGACTTTGAATCGTGTTCTTTGGATGCTTATACAAAGAGATATGCTTGAACGATTGACCAAAGGTCATCCTGAATGCCGTTTTCAAGCTTCATTCATCTTCTTTTTGATCCCATAACCAATCCTAGAGCTCTTTTGTCATTAAATCTTCATCGTAAACCTACCGGTGACCTCCATAGCTCTCAAATCAACACTCAAATGCATCTCGAATCATCCCTATTGCTCCTCAAGTGCCGATGTGAACTCTAAAATCCTGATTTTGACTCCAAATGACACAAAACTCGAACCAACGCCTGTTAAACATAACTTGAGCTAAAATTGAGACTTGTAACACCTTAAAGCTAGGAAAACCATCAAAATCCGATCCCAACACGCATCAAATGCGTGTCTAAATACGGACTTATCACTATTGCTCGCGTGGAAAGGGCGGTTGAAAAGGGAAAGACTATAGTAGCTGCTGCTGAGGGTGTTGAAAAGCAGTGGGGTGCATCTACTTATGGTTGTTAATCTCTGAATTCCCGTTCATATTATTTTCCAAGTCTTTATGGCTCATTCATAACGCTTTCTATGATCATTTTTAGTTAAAGATGTTTTGGTGCTCTCTTATTGTAGGTTCTAATACATTCATTGAAACAATTCGAGAGCGGGTGTTCAGGCTCTCCTTGTCTACAATTGTTCCTGATAATTCAATGTAGGTTATATCATTTTATTGTATGATTAATATTTATATGTTTTTAAAAGCCAATATGCTATCGATAGGCAGCTATTCGAAAGATGGATTTATCATGATTTATTGTATTGTTTTTGCCAGGGTTGTTATAGTTGGACCAAGCAATAATGTTCTCGATGTAGCAAAGAAAATGCTCGAATCTCGGACAAGTTCTGCAATTGTAACAGTTGAGAGCAAACCATGTGGAATTCTTACGTGAGTTCATTTATATTTTAATCATTTTTACAATTACTTCATAGCGTGAACATACTGTGATCAGATGACTTTCACATGCTTTTCAGTTCAAAGGATATCTTGATGCGAGTCATAGCACGAGACCTATCTCCCGAGTCAACTTTAGTGAACAAGGTATTTCTTTTTTTGCAGTTGCTTGTTCAATTTGTTATTTGTTCAAAAACACTGGATAAATTGGGCATATCGCTTACTTGCTTGTACTTCTCATGATAAAGTTCAGACATGAATGGCATGAATCCTACTCTATGACTTTTTGCACGAAACAAATACTACATACATTGGCTGGCACGTATGGAATTAACACCACTGATTATATATCTTACCTTTTTTTAATATCGAAACTGTAGGTCATGAGTTCTAGTCCAGAATGTGCAAGTGTTGATACGCCTATGTTGGATGCTTTACGTAGGATGCATGCAGGGAAATTTTTACACATGCCTGTTGCGGATAAAGGTAAATTCCCTTTTTGAAGAACCCGGAAAGGTTTCTTACTTCAACATTTATGATCTATTGCAGATGGAGCAATTGTTGCGGTTGTTGATGTGATCCATATCACTCGTGCTGCTATTTCCATAGTAAGGCACTCATTTGTGCATCACTTTGGTGCCAAATGGTTTATACAAGCAAGCCTGGGTGGTGCTGGGCGTACCTAATCACATTTAATTGTGTTTAATCACTTATATTGGAGAAACATGTGTAATTCAGTTAGGAAATGAGTTTTAAATTTTACTTTTTTTTGGGACTAAGGTTTTCTTTTGGGACTAAAGCTTGGACGTTGTTTATGTTGTTGTCATAAACAGTTTTGTAAAATGAATGTGATTGTAGAACTCTGAAAACATGAAGTTGTTCACCCACCTGAGGTGTCGATTGATCTGGCGCCATTCGAATTGTGTCAAGTGTACACTTGTCACTATTCAAGTGGCCCACGTAATTGTTGGAAGGAGTAACCTCGCCACCTCTAGTGGCCTAGTGGGACTGATGAATACAAAACTTGTAATCATCTTAGACTGATAGAGTCACCCGGGTAGTTATATTACATCTTTTTACCACTTTGCACGTCCATTTATAATGATTGGGTTGTTGTGAATCCAGAACTTGTAATCACTCTAGAATTATTTTACTATTCCATATCCCTCACTCATTAGCAGGAAGGGAGTACTGCTGTAGTTAATGACACTTCAAACACTATGATGCAAAGGTTTTGGGATTCCACTATGGCATTAACTCCTAACGATGATGAAGAGACACCCAGGTTGCTACATGCTCATGTGACTTGTTCTTTCTGCATTCATTATTCAAAGTAATTTCCTGTCTTTATCTAACATTTACTTATTGATGTGAGAAAATAGTGAAGGTTCTTTGAAGTTGGCCTCAGAAGGGCAGGAGACTGGAATATCACTTCCATTTCTTTCGTCAACACTGCCAAATGCTTTTGCTTTTAAGATTCACGACGGAAAGGGAAGGATGCATAGGTTCACCAGTGGTTTGTCTGAATAGATTAAAAAGTCCTCTAACAAAACCATGGTGTTATTTTAAGAGTTTTTCTCTAAAGTATTACTGAAGTACAATTTTTTTTTTGAAAGAATTACTGAAGCGCTTTTTAGTGCTTTTGCTTTTGAAAGAACAACTAAAGTACGACTCAAGTTATTAATGTTTAGTTCTTTTTAAAATTGAACATAACTTAGTCACTAAAATTTACTATTTTGTTCACCAGGTATAAAAAGTCACATTTTTAGTCCATTGTCCTTATTTTAGTCCATTGGCCGTTTTGAGAAGAAATAGTACTCCGTAATTGATTATACTTTTCACTTGATCCAAACCGGTGGACTTTTTTTACCACGCAGTTTGTGTACTCCACTGAATATGAGAATTTTGTCTCTGTCCTTGGTAACGCTTTTGAGCTTTTAAGGGACGGTATAAAAGCAATTAGAGTTCAATAGTAATTAATTTTTAATGTTTGCCAAAAAAAAGTAATCGCTTTTTAATTAAGTTTAAAAGTGAACATTAAAAAGTTGGATGTAATATATTTAGTCTATTTTTGGTGAGATGGTGTAAAAACATTTTACTTGTGAAAATTTGAAATGCAAGGTAGCAAAAATTTTATGTTAAAGTTAAAGAATTAACTTTGTTCGACAACAGCTTTTCTAAACCTTTTGTATTAAAATTATACAACCTTATAAAGATTATTAGTGGAATCAAATGTAAGCAAAACTGATTTTATAAAGATTATTAGTGGAATCAAATTTTTTAACTGATTACAACTTTGACCCCCATATTTGCAATCACCCATTTCTTCACATCTGCAGTTTCAACTGGTAGAAACTTGAATTTCTCCTACAAAAAAATACAAGTTCAAAACAATTTTTTGATATAGAATAAAATTAAAAAGAAAAAACTCTTACACAAATACCTTTACAATGCTCCATAAGGTTTCCTTTGTTGTATCACCAACATCTCTCTAATCATCAAAATTTATTCCCAACATGAGTTGACATTTTTACCATGGTACCCAAAAATTGAGTTAGTTCACTTCCTTCTTCTCCAATTGGCTGCACCATTTCGTTAAAGGTTACCGCTATTTTTGTGTCACTCTTTAGCTCCCAAATGTCATGTTTTTTTGTAGGACCTCGAACTTTTTTTGCAATTCCTTTATTGTGGGACATAAACACTAAATAGTAATTGCATAAATTTGGATACAAACTCTAATGAAATTCTGTATAACTCAAAATGGTCACAAATCAATAGTTAGGATGCATGAATAAGATAGGAGTCTAAACAATTTATCAATTATTTTGACACACATGAATAAATCTAGTAAATATACTTAAAGCAATGAAAAGGCTATCAAAACAAATAAACAACTAATTTTAATGGAACTACAATTTTAGAGATTGTCTTTGTTCACCAGGCCATATTGAGCAACAGATATACAAATCAATTACTTCTGTGTAAGGTATAATTACAAAGAATAAATGCAATTCAATTTTGCTAATTAGATCGATTAATGTAAGACTTTGTATATAAAATTGATTTCATGGCCTGAAATTTCAGTGGTGTATCAAATAGAACCCTAATGTTCAATTACGAAAAATCAAAAGTTAATATATAACACAATTAGAACTATGTAGTGTTAGTATTGAATCAGTGATAGATCAAGCTCACTAAGTTCACCAAAGTATATAGTATAGAAATCAATCACTATTACTAACTTTATATAAAAAGGTATAGACATATAACATAAATATGATTTGATTTTGTTAATTAAATTTATAAAATCAAAATTGTGGGGTAATAGAATTGATCTTAACTCACGTATAAACTAAGAATTATGGGGTAACAGAATTGATCTCAACTCACTCTACTCACGATCTATATTACAAATTTTATCATTTATGTATACAATCACTCACCAGGGATACAAATCAATGAAAAGTAGAAAGCCTTTTCATTGTGCTGGATCAATATAATTAAGGAGGCATGAATTAACTCTAGCAGAGGATCAAATATTAAATCAATACTAAGAAATTAACAAACCACGTACTCTAACGGACATTAGATCAAATACAGGTTAACCAATCCATAAAAAGCAAAAGCATTAACAGTCTAATGGATATTGAAAAGAGAAAAGATCCTAGCAGTCTCTTTCTGATGAGCGTCTCTTTCAGAAATTTCTCTCAGGGATTTTGTTTGGTTCAGCTATAACATCTCCATGACGAACCCGTCTCTTTCCGATGAGCGTAGGATTCTAAACGATCTCTTCGATCTGTTGAGCGCTATGGCACCGCTAAACCTAATTAGCGGATTTGCAAAAGGACGGCCGACCAACCTTAAGTGAGGAGGCCAAATTCCTGGGCCAGCTTTGAATTTTGGTTTTTAAAATTATACTCCCTCCGTAACATATATATGTTCCCATTTGAAAAGTAGGTAGATTAAGAATAGTGAAAGATGATATAAATTATTAAGGTATGATGAGAAGATAGTGAAATAATGTGATGGAATGAATGATAAATCCAAAAAAAGTAGGTGTAATAGTGTATTATTTTTAAAATTATTGAGGGTATGATGAGAAGATTTAGAAATGAGAATATATGAATGTTACATTCAAAAAAGGAAAGTGGGAAGATATGAATGTTACGGAGGGAGTACTTCGTATTTCAAATGCTGGTTTGAGTCCTAACGACCCAGATCCCAGTATTCAGTAACTTTATTTTGGCTTTCATTAATTTTTTTAAGTGTCAGCAAAACTAAATTAGTATATTTTCTTAAAAAACGACGAAGTACTTCTTTGTAGGGCTGGCAATATCACCCGCACCCGCGGATACCCGGTCAATCCAACCCGAAAATATGGACGAAAACCCGGAGAAGTATGGATGAAAAATGGATGACGGGTGGACTGAAAGACGGGGTGGATTGGATGTGGATGAAGACTCATCCAACCCATCACCCGACCCATCACCCGTTCCATCCACCCATCCGTTGACCCGCATATAAATATATAATACTACGTATATATTATACTTGATATACTTAATAATAAATAATAATAATAATTATAATAGTTAATATAAATATATTAATACATAGTTAGATACTTAAATATGTATATATGTTACTCCATATACATATTACGGAGTATATGTTCCTGAATTACTAATCGGCTAATCTCATTAGCCCTATTTTGGATAGTTGGAGGTGGACGCCTAGACAGATACTCTGAGAAGCCGAGATTCCGATTTCCGAGGGACAGCGGAGTAGCCGCGCACTGAATTAATGGTTGTAATATACTTCGTACTTAATTGCTCATGTTTTTGTTGTTATTTTACAATGAATTCTTAATTTTTGGTTTTTAATTGTCATGATTTCTCTTTGTAATTTATTTATTGTCTCAAGTTTGACCATTTATATTTCACCCGCAACTCACCCAATCCACCCGATAACCGTTCAAGATGGATGGGTTGGATGTGGATGTCATTTTTAATGGATGATGGACGGGTGGGTGGAGTATAAAAAATTAACGGGTGGACGCGGATGAGCAGCCACCCGGTGTAAATCCGACCCGCTGCCACCCCTACTTCTTTGGTTTAGTGATGAAAGTTTAAACATGCGTATGTTGAATTATTATACTCCGTATAAACTCAATAAAAAATCTAATATTTTTCTTGTCACATTAAAGTGTCAACATATACAAGCTATTATGACACTTTTGTTTGTGTCAATAAAAATATGTGTCACCAAATGTAACATTTCTTGTAGTGCAATATAAAGTAATAGTCTTTGCACAATAATTGGAGGGGAAAATCCAACCCAAATTAGAGTCATAAATAGACATTAATGTAGGGTGACAACTTCGGTACCTTTCTAAAAACAGGGGTATCGTACCTATCATTCATTTAATTGGACCACATCACTTTATCAATTTTAATTTAGATTTAAATAATTCAACTGCAACCTTTTCATTGGTCCACGTGGACAAAGGTGTGGTACATTATGGGTACCATAGAAACTACATTAATGTAGAATTTGTCATATATATATAACAGGAAAACCAAACGTAGATCAAATGTACCATAAATATGGTATATTGGTATAGTGAAAGATGCTCTTACCAATAATATCGTATATATGCATGTCGTCATTCAAATTCTCTCCATTAAATTAAATAAGTAGCCGTTTGTTATATATTTTGCCAATCAGTGCTCACAATTACTACGTAATTGTATATTTAGCCATTTTAAGATTCTTAGCACGTAGCCAACATAATGTATAGGAAATATTAGTAATTCATATACGAAGTAGTATGTATATACGACGATATTCCTACCCAAAAAATTGTGTCCCATCTCCATATCACTAAATAATACTACCTCCGTCCCACTAATTAATATTGGGTCAGAAGGGGTGGCAAGGTTATTTGTAAGAAAAATGACTTGGTGTAGTTGATAATAATTGATAAAGTAAGAATAGAGTAAGAATGATTAGAGCCACACAAATTTTATTAAATTTGGTATGCGATAAGTTTAGTGAATTTTCCGAAAAGGTAAAATAGGATAATATTAGCGGGACAGAGGGAGTACTCCGTAATAATAATAATAATAATAATAATAATAATAATAATAATATTTATTTATCTATCATGATGGGGCTGTTGATCGTTATAAGGCTCGCTTGGTTGCACAGGGGCTTAATCAGCAGGCAGGTATTAATTTTACTGAGACTTTTAGTCCTGTTGTTAAACATACTACTGTTCGTCTTGTTCTTACTTTAGCAGTGTCGTTTGGTCGGCCAATTCGCCAATTATACGTCAAAAATGATTTTCTTCATGGTTATCTTACGGAGGAGGTGTACATGCGTCAGCCGCCTGGTCTTGATCACCCCCAGTTCCCTCATCATTTGTGTCAGCTTAAAAAAAGGTTTGCTGCGTTAAAAAAAGGATAAAGTGGTCGTTTTACAACTCGATCTAACCTACAACCCAACAAATAAGTAAAAGCAAAATTGGTCCACTAAACATAAAGTGTAACTTATAAATGTATAAAAGATAAAGTGGAAAATTAAAAAGTTAGTGA